AGAGAGAGAGAGAGAGAGAGAGAGAGAGAGAGAGAGAGAGAGAGAGAGAGAGAGAGAGAGAGAGAGAGAGAGAGGCATCTACTCGCTCATCAGGTCTGTAGGCTGCACCCAGACCCACAAATAAAAAACAAGGCATCTACCTGCATCTTCTTCACAATTTTGCAGGGTTGCCTTGGCTTATCCGTTTGGTTGATCTTTTCATGGTGATGATGGAGGTTTTATCCATTCAATTATTACTGTATTTTTTAACGAGTTCTACATTTTTATTTAGAAAGAGGGGCAGGGATTGGGGGAGAGAGAGAGAGAGAGAGAGAGAGAGAGAGAGAGAGAGAGAGAGAGAGAGAGAGAGAGAGAGAGAGAGAGAGAGAGAGGCGTCTACTCCTTCATCAGGTCTAAGGGGCGCTCCCAGACCCACAAAAAAAACAAGGCAGCACAAACTTCATCGTTGCCCTGCACCACGTTGGTGTTGGCAGGTAATCCCGTTGAGGGTGGAACACTCATGGTAACCACCTGATAACATATTGACACGGCCATACAATCTTATTGTCTAATCATTGGCGCCAATCAGCTGCAACTGTGCAACTTGATGACTTTGGAAGGTGATCACGCCATGATAACAACCGTCCGGAGACGTGCGAGCCCAATGAGTGCGGCCGTACACTGATTTGGGATTTCAAAAAAAAAAAAAAAATCACAGCATGGGGGATTTCGCTACAGTTTGGGTTTGTTTGGGTTTGCTTCGCTATGAACAGCTAGCGGCAGCATGTATTCCGTTTCTCATGGGTATTGCATCACACAGCGTAAAGCCACTGGCTTCCCGAACACAACACACGGACATTATGCCAATTTTATGGACATGTCTGGGCTAGATGTCGTCATAATGGGTAAGCCTTGTACACAAGGAAAGACAGTAGCTCGTAATTTGCTCTGCAGCAACTGATTTTGCTCAGAGTGGGATAGGTCTAACTTAGCGAAGAGCACTCTGAAAAGCTTCTTCAACAAAAACTTGAAGCTTAGCTCTGGCCACAAAGCCTTGATTGCACCTAGACTGGATCTGCTCCCCTTAAGATGATGCCCAGCCAATAGAGTTGCTAAGCAAAAGAAAGAAATGTAAGATGGGAAGAATAACCCTGGTCTGTCCTGTTCACTCACCTCCCTCACGTCATTTGCGGCTGGGATGACACTCTGTAGTTTCTTGTCAAATAGGCTCATTAAAATCTTTCCAATCTTCTGTCGCAAAGCAGAAGCCTCTGAGGGTTCAAACCAGTCAGGACCCATCTGAAAATAACATCCAAACATCATGCCATCCCCAACGTGAGATTTAACCAACCCAGCCACCCATCTGCCCACTCCTCTCGCTCCTTTCTCTCAGCAACACACACACAAAGAGTGGAAGTCCGGCGTTCCTTTTTTTTTTTTGTGGAGTGGTGTATAGCGGAACAGTCTGGCACAGTCCTGCTTTTTGTCCACTTTGTGTTCTCGTTTTTCTCCAGTGCTTTTCTTGAGTCTAAGTGAGCACCTCTAGCACATGCCGAATAGTTGGTCGCCCTTCGTTTCGAGTGCCTGCAACACTATTAGGGTGGCTGCTGTGTCTGGGATGTCTGCGTCTGTGTGTTCCCTGCGACATTCGTCAAAGTGGCTTTTGAATGCATCTTCGGAAGTTTTTGTCAACTCTCTATTCAGGGGGAAACCTCGTCTTGCTGTGAAGCTCAACCACTGAGGATTGTATGACACGCGTCATCGTCATCACACCTCCCGATGAGCCAGTGAAAGTCCGACGAAACAGTCTGGCACAGTCATGCTTTTTTTGCGGAGTTGTGCATGGCAAACACAGCAACATCCCCACCCACCCACACACACACACACACAAATATGAATATAAATATATAAGACAAAGGAATAAGGACCGCAACAGAGAAACAGGCGAGCAGAGACAAAATAAGTCAAAACAAATGGCACAGATTATGAAGACCAACGGTTCAAACGACTGGTGGACAGTGTGGAATAGCTTGGAATTCTATCCCATGTGAATGGACTCGGAACGAGATATAACAACAGAGGCCTTGAACTCACAAACACAGCGTAGGGATAACGGTGAAGTGAGCTGGTATATACCCAGTGGGGCAGGCACAAAATTGTCCCCAACGGATCATAGCAGCAAACAACAGAAAGAGTCGAGCGGGCGATGGTCCAATACTTGAAAAGGAAAGAGATAAGCTCACCTCCATTCGTGATTTCCCAATTTCCACATAGTGATGGGCGGGAATGTTTTCAGACGACCGGCGGGTCAACGTAAAAATATGAGGTACTGGCCGTCCAACAGATTAGTACCTGATCATACGACATCCGACACATAGCACAAACTCTACCGATCTCCAGCCAGGGATCATGACGTACTGATCTCAACCATGCCCACTGCAGAAAACATGGAGCATGACTCTGGCCATCCTCCATACCTGTGAAACCTGGCTTGTTGGCAGCCATAGCCGCATCTTGTGCAGAGACAATGTTGTACAGTTTAATTGCCTGGCGGATATTATATTCGAGTTACATCTCACTTGTGCTTTGATGTGTGTGCGTCAGCTGGTCTATGCATGGAGTGAAATCATCGTGTAGTGTTGATATCTTTCTCATACATCAGTGCAAATTCTCTAGATATGGGTGGCAGACGTATCTGATGTGGATTCCGACTATATACGGGCCTGTGTGGTCTCCACCCCTTGTGGAATTCAAAAGGCGTCCTGACTGTTCACAGATGCACTGAGTTGTTATAAGCACTTGCTCTGTCCACCCCTTGCCAACTTCACACCTCAATCAATCTGATCCATCAGCTTATTCGTCTGCTCTGTCTGTCCGTTAGGTTTGGGGTATGTCTACCAGACAAGATAGTCAGCTGGGATCCACACTCTTTCATTAGCTGTTGGCAGGCTTCGATAGTCAACCTAGCATCCCTATCACTAACTATAGTCACCGGGTCGCCATTGTCCTAGACCCAGTGAGCAAATAAATTCTCTATGACTAGCTCAGTCCCCCAAACTCACAGATCACCACAAAGTTACACAAACTCACAGTCCCTCAAAGGAACACTGCAATCTCTGAACAATCACCACCGCAGCTGCCCAACTAATGACATCACAAATGTACACCTTACCATTGCAGCTAACTCCATCACCGTGCAACCATTCTCATGATCAATTCCTTCCCGTCCCAGCCAACACTCCTCGCCACCCACTCACAAAAATTGGCCCCTTCGTCAATAACACTCCATCGCCAAGGCACACACCCAACCGACTAACACCCCAGACAAAATCATGGTGGCCATTGTAAGCCAGGATTCTGGAAAACAGATCACCACAAACCCACAGACCCTCAAACAAATACTGCAATCCCCAACTAATGAAAAAATAAATCTACCCTCACCACCATGTATCAACTGCCTTCAAACCACCAGTACTTGGCCCAGCTATTAGCCGCGGGAAAAAAATAGAGTAGAAGAGTTTCTAGTCAGATGAATTTGGGTCACCCATTACCAAGGTACTGTCCAGCCTGTTTGGCGTCACCCATTACCAAGGTACTGTCCAGCCTGTTTGGCTGAATGAATCCCAGACATTCATGCTCCATGAGCAGACTACACAGCCATATTCCAAAGCCTGCGTTAGACATTGTCCATTCACATCCTGTCCATTGCAGTCTCGCTGAGTTTCTGACACATTTACTCAACATGAGGTCAATACCGACAACTGCCATTTCCCCAACTCAGCAACCGCATCACATCCTGTCCATTGCAGTCTGGGTGAGTTTGTCACACGTTTACTCAACATGAGGTCAACACCCACAGCTGCCATTCCCTAACTCATCAGCCACGCCTTCCCAATTTTACTGCCCTCAGGCAGCGTACAAACCCCACATCCCCTCCTGAAGAACAGCTCATTGTTGTCTCTCCCTCCCACCTACGCATGATATAAACCCACGCCAGTCCAAGACAAACCGGGAAGCCCGGCTGCAAGCCCGGTATGACATGCAATCCAGAAATGCAATACTTGCGCCGCCGCACTTCACACTATGTAAAAATGTTGCTCACTACAGTACATACCTCTTTTGCACAGCACGTGGAACTGATGCGCAGCCACTGTTTCCCGTTCATTCAATGTACCGCTCAGTTCTTCTTTGACATGATACACTTTCCATTGCAGTCCAATTTCCCTTTGAATCGAAGTGCCGTTTACTCCTCTGCTTTTGCCAAATGTTACGCCAGGCACACTCTTTCATTTCGGAAGACATTCTGAAAATGGCATCTTTTGATTCTTTTCCAATTTCCACTCAGTCCTCTTCAGGCGTCACTACTATTCACACCAACACCATTGACAGCAACTGCTTCTCCTACAATCACATCCCCTTCTCTTTCATTTTCCCCTCCATACCTTTGCAATCCGTCTACGTCTCCAATCATCTCACCCAAAATTCACCCCTCTAATTTCTCATTCTATTTATGTCCAGTGTCGTTGGAAAGAGTTGGCAATATGGAATCCCGCACCATATCCCCACAAAGCCGAAACACTACTTCAGAGAATCAACGGTACTGAATACTTACTCTGACATGCATACCAGCATAAAACTCACAATCTACACACACACACAATAAAGAGCACCCCCACAGTCACTTGAAAACCCAAACAGTCAACCACCGACTTCTCTCCCCAACTCAAATCTCCCCATCTGTTGATCCATTGTTCGACTGAATGAAAACATGCATACATTCTTTTTTTTTTAATGTGGACCATTTCTCGATTTATGCGTGACATCCATCCGCAGGGGCCATGCTAATTTCTTCTCTGTATCGTTCCAATTTTAACGGATGTCCCACAGGAAAGAAATACCATTCTTTTTTTTATTTGCGCAGGGGCCATGCTGATCTTCTCTGTATCGTTCCAATTTTAACAGATGTCCCGATTCTTACTAATTTCTTAGGCGTAATTTGATGGGTGCCCCAAGCATGTCAAAATAGCTGACAACACTGCAAAAAGGACATGCAAAAGAAAAGACAGAATCCCCAAAGCAGCATCTCAGTGTGTTTCCGCACCAGACTCAGGAATCACCTAGCATCAGTGTTGTCAGGTCAATGGTGTCACCCTCCAATTGGTCAGGGGCCGACCAGCCCATCGGTGCACCTGTCGGCTCCGACCGTTCAGCAGCTCGTCGGCACCCCACAGAAAACAAACAAAAAAAGCTAGCAGAACCACCATAACACCCAAATATTACCCCCCCCCCACTTTACCTCCCATGTCCCCCCCATAACCCCCCTAACACCCCCATACC